AACCACAGACCCACCTTTTCCAACCACCCCCACCACAGCACCCACTACCACAGCCACAGACCCAAGTACAACAACTACCACAACAGCACCTACTACCATAAATGTGGAGGAAACTTCTGTGTAGTAATGCATGGAGTCACCGACTCAGGAAGGAGACACGGTGAGAGTTGGAGCTTTGATGTCAAACACTGATGGGTTTATTCAGAGTATTCGGCCGGAGGATTCACATCACAAATCAAAGAGTCAGAGGTTCTGACTACACGGTAGAGTTGCCACGTCAATTCTGAAGAACCTCTCTCTATGCTAGACCTTTTAACTGGTTCACAGAGAGAAATCAACATCTCTGAAGGAGTAGACTAAACACTGAATTTGTGTCCAACACTCATGGCCTCAAGGATTTCACATCCTAGAGCCCACAAACACCGATAAAGAAGTGCCTCAGTGTTCCCACAACAATTACCCTTCGTGCCAGTCAAGTTGACCGGTCACACACTGGTGACAACAACACATATGGCACCAAGGCCTTTCCTTAAAGGAGATAACACGTCACAGAGCAAAAGGTTAGATATCTAGAAGAATTATTCCTTAACAGTTCCTCTCTTTTTATCATTTTTGATAACCTTAAAACATTAGTCTAATAATTCTGGTCAATACTTAAATCAATAGGCGTCTTCAGATTCGAGTGTGGTCTCACCTTACATTCAATTACATCACAAAGTAGAGTAAGATTGAAACATTCAATCACAATGATTGATACAGGCAATCATAATAGGAAAGATTATCTCTCATCAGTGTTTGGAGCATCTTTTGTCAATAAGCACAATAATGACCACACATAAAACACAGATACATAATAGCAAAAATATTTGTTTTAAACTAATATCTTTTATCATTTAAACCATTAGTTAATGTCATTTATCAAACTATAAAATCAAAACCAGAAACAGCTTAAAGATTTGCTTTAAGGCAATCACTAGTCAAAAGCATTTAAAACTTAGGATCATAAGAGATCCAGCTAAGGCATAACATTCACAGTGGTGATTTGATCAATCTGTAATCTGCGAAATTGCAGTGTCCTCAATTTTAGGATTACTTTACGTTTACTTCATTACGCTTTAGCCAAGAGTAAGGCACTTAGTCTTAGTAAAATCAATACATTCATTTTAGTCAAGTACATTGTTCAAAATCTGAAAAGGAAAAGTTAGGCAAATATTCAAAGACTTTTGTAAAAACCTGGAAAGGAAAGATTAAACATTCTTAAAACTTTAATTCATACATTTGTAAATGCTACAACTGATCTGTACCAAATTAAGTCTATCAATTATTCTTATTAGCCATACTTACCTTTACATCTACTTATGGTACTTGGAAAGGATTCTTCTGTGTTTATCTAATGTTGAAATATAGAATATCAATTTCTTTAAATTATACTTCTCTAATTTGAGGATCAAATATGCTACATAATTGTTATATGAATTATTATAAATATTTGTTTTGGGCCAAAACTGAAATTAATCCAGTACTTGAAACATCATTTTATGTCTGTCTGTGCATGGGTAATACATTAAAGAGTAGTGTTGTAAAGTCTGATTGCTGGATGATTAAGGATATTAACATTATCTGTTATAATATTAGAAATATCTTATTATTCAATACTTTATAATCTGAGAATATTTATTTATTCATTTTGTTTAGTGTGAAAATGTAATCTGATCTGACTAAATATATTTATCACCACTATTTAACACATGTCTGGTCATTGGAAATATAAAAAAAACAATCATTAATTGTACATCTTTAAACACCTGGTCATTCAATTCAAAGTTCATCTTTGTACGAGAGCTGGAAGAACATGTCCGTCAGTCTTCGTTCTCCTCCTCCCTTTATGACACCGAGTGTCTGGTGTGTAAAGGCATCCTGATACTGTAGATTAGCACTGAGGTGCTGATTGGCTCAAACTCTTCTTCATCAGAGCGCCATATTTCAACCCCCCAATTGCTCTGCTTTTGTGTGGCTCATTCAGTGAGCACTGTAGCTGATCCCCCAGTGAGACGGAGGCTCATCTGCCGGTATTCCTTCTGCTATCTGCTTGAGAGCAACTGCGTATTCCTGATGCATCCAGGTGTGTCCCCCGTGATGGGAGAGGTTAGGAAGACATCAAACTCCTCCAAGAAACATGGAACCTTGTATTATAGAAGCCTCTGAAGCCCTCGCTCGTCCTGCAGGGTTGTCTGCTAGAGCCCACCGAGCAGAAAGATGAAGAGAAGAACCCCCTCTTATCAGAAAGGTGAAGAGAAGCATCCCATCTCGAACGACCTCGTGCTTCCTTGCACGTGGCTGGGGGTGCTCTCTGCACCCGGAGAGTGTGACCCTCTCTCTCTGACCCTTGGCCTTGAGAGCTGTCCTAGTTATTGGGTTAACACTTGATAGGGATGTTTTTCTGAGTGAAGACAACTCAAAGTAATGGATTAGCACATTATCATTTAATTACAAAAATAGGATAGGCCCCTCAGAATGATTTGGGAGCCTTCCTGACACATGCACATTATCATTTTGAAGGTTTGTGTTAGTCATTGAACATGCAAGAATCATATACTCATCAGTCCATAGCAGAGAAATGTTATTGTAAGTTAAAGGTGAGCTTGTCCCTGTGGATATAACCCCTTCTCAATGATTCTAAATGTATATTAATTCACCATTTACCTTTTGATAAAATATTAGTTTATCAGAAATATTTTGTCTCTTCCATAAAACATAGGTTTGAGAAATAAATTACCCAATATAAAATAACTTACTCAATATAAATTACTCAATATAATTGACTCTTCCCTCCCTTTTCTTACATATGGTACATATGAAATAATAACTTAGGAGTCTATTTAAGCATGGTATAGTTTATAATCTATTAATCGAGAAGACTCAGTATCACCTGTGTGCAGCTTACAAAAAACCATTGTGATAAACATATATTATGCAGGAAATTGATACATTTGTTGAAAAACAAAGCATATCTGATTTGGGAGGAAAAGTTTCATCCCTTTAACATCTGAGTTATTACTGAAGGCATAGCATGAATGATATTGGGTGTCTGAGGGTGTCATTACTGAGAAATGTCAAACAACATCAAAACCTTACATTTGAAAACAGGTTTGCATTCCTCCACTTAAGGTGACGTTATCATTGGAAACAATAAAAGCTAATTGTTTTGATGTAGAATCTATACATTGAATCGTTAGAGCAGAACAGAATGGTTGTATTAGCCTGAGTTTTGTGCAGCCTTTAGTTTTACCAGGTGGAAACATTGTCTATATAATGTGAATACATATACAGGGTTCTTACACCTTTTCCAAAGTCAAATTCAAGCACTTTTCAAGCATTTTCAAGGTGCATTTTCAAGCTTTTCAAGCATTTAGATGCTGCGTATCACAGTGCACTGAGATTTGTGACAAACTGTAAAGCATTAACCCATCACTGTACCCTGTATGCAAGGGCTGGTCTGCCTTCACTAACTGCACGGAGGCTCAGTCACTGGTACATTTTTATATATAAAGCCATGTTAGGGAAACTTCCATCCTACATCTGCTCCCTGATCTCACGGCGAATTGTAAGTGGCTACTGCCTGAGATCGCATGCTGTGGTTTTATTAAATGTGCCAACTGCTAGGACTGTCTTAGGGAAGATAGCATTTAGATGCGCAGCTCCACTGTCCTGGAATAGTCTGCAATTAAAATGGAAACTGAGCAATCTGGTGCCACTCAATGTTTTTAAAGCTCGGTTGGATGCTACTCAATCGGAAGCTGTTGGTACCTGTGCATGTGGATAGTTATGTAAATTGTAATCCCTGTAATGCTAATGTATGATGTCCTTTTGTTGTTCTGTTTATGTTTTTAATGTTTCATGTGGAACCTACTTGAGCAGGTCTCCCTTGAAAAAGAGGTCAATGATCTCAATGGGATACAACCTGGATAAATAAAGGTTTGAAATGAAAATTTTACAGCTGTTGTAAATTACATATTTATATACACATACTTATACTCAAATGATTATTTCCCTACCTCACATTAAATCAGATGTTCTTTATGCTATAAACAACCAAATGTGTGTTTCATAATAGCATTCTACATGAGGATGAAAAATTAAAAATGTTAGAAAAGAAAACTAAGTTTAATATTTCAAAATGAGTGACCCAGCTGTACGTAGACTGGGCATCCCATATAACCTGGCTGAGCCAATATAAAACAATCAGCCAAATAACTTTTCAATATATTATTGATTACTATTTTTGAGGTACTTTTAGGTTGGCAGTAAACACAAGTCAGAGGTAAATGGTGTACTTTCCCTCCACTACATGTATGTAATACATTTAGTTACTTCACAGATGTGGATGAATGATGTGAAATATAATCAAGTGTTAAATCAGACTTTAGTTCCACCTGGAGTAAATTCACAAGCTACCCTGCAGTATACAAAGTCATTCAAACTAGCTGCAACTTTACCAGCTTTGAGAACACTTTGATGATCAATCATTATAAAACATATCATATACAATTATTAGGGATGCTCCGATCGCCAATTTTGGAGCCGATCGCCGGAATCAGTATCGGCCGATACCGATATCGCTCTCTTTTCCTCTCTCCCCCTCTCTCTCTCTCCTGACAGTCCGTCAGTATCTCCTGCAGCTCACTGATCCAGTAATGAGCGACCCAACAGTGAAGAATAAATATATTTATAACTAGTTTAGCTTGTTCCAGAGGTAGATAAGATAGCTAAGTGTGTTAGGTCTAACTCTTAATGTGTGTTCTGCTCTGCTCACCGGTCCGTCACAGCGGGTGGAGCTGCAGGATTTCTGCTTCACACACACCGTTGCATACCGCTATTTTATTGTCATTTTCGGACACTTAAAATACTGCCAGACTAGTGAAGCCATTTTGGCGAGCTTGTTTTGCCGCGCACATAGAAAAGTGTCATGTATTTTACATGCAACGATAGCCTTATCTAAAATGTTCTACTACAGCGTACCTTTCGTGTGGTGTGTGGCTCGTCAGCGCAGACTCTCGCATCGTTATTGTTGCACACTTTGCAGGAGGCTACTCTTGGGCTTCGCTTGACCCTCGTCTCAGCCATGGCTTGTATTTGTCTTCTGCTAGCCAACGCTCGTTGAAACGGCAACCTCCTGGCATACTGTCATCTATCACTCTCATCAGAATGCCCAGGTCACACACATAACAAAAACACTTGCCGGTCACGCGCATTGCGCGGGAAGGCCGGAGCGGAGCTGTTTTATGTAAAAGCGAAGCAATTAAGCGCGCTCAGACTTCTTTATTTTCTTTTAATCTAAAAAGCGAAGTAAAGCATTTACAATTTCAAGCACTTTATCCCAAATTCAAGCACCATTCCCAAAATTCAAGCACTTTTCAAACCTTGAAAACACTTCGTACAATTTCAAGCATTTTCAAGGATTTCCAGCACCCGTACGCACCCTGCATATAGAACTAGACATTAAGCGACCCCTGACATTAGGCCTATTTGAAACAATAGTAGGGGCTTTTACCAGCTCGCCCACTTACAGGCATCATAGCAGTATGAATAGCCTTAAAAACAACCCACTCTGCGGTAACGAGAGTCATGTATCTGAACCAAATGCCCTAAGTGAAGCCGTTAGTCTCATCTGACTGACCCAAGGGTTGGTGCTGGTGTGACAGGGAGGCTTCCAAGTGTTTATAGCAGATGTCATGCTTTCAGTTCATGGCTCGGTGGGGGGGAGCAGACCCATGTGAGACAGTATCAACGGCTGTAATGTTCAGTTTGAGGAGTGTCATTCTCTCTGGGAGCAGGAAATGGTGGCCATTCTCGGACCAGACCATTAATGTCATGTAGAGCAGCCTTTAGCATCTCTGTGACTGCACTCAGCCGGACTGCAGCAGGGCAGAACTGGGTGACTTTTAGTGAAGCCGTCCAAGGCCATAGACAAAATGGAACCACGTACTAACAAAAGGGACACAAGGTCATCAATGTCTCTCTTTACCTTTGGCCTAATTGTAAAACAAATTAGTGGAAGAAATGTGGAACACTAATCCATCATCATGTGACATTTAGAGTTAATTTAAATAATTACTTATGGGTTGAAGTCAAATTAACATTAACATTAGAACTAAAGTCAGTCAAAATTGGACGTGCACGGATCAGAATCTAATCAATACACCATTTTCCCAGCTCTGTAATGAAAAGGATATCAAGATTAGGTACATTACAGGAGTGTTAAAACATCCAAACATGCACACGTATCTTATTCTAGTAGAGATTAGAGGACAGGTCTAATGTTGTGAACAAAATGATCAAGTCAAAGTTATTTTATTTATTTTTATCTTATGTACCACATTTAATTTAATAATTCATCTTAAATTACTAATAACTTTAAAGAAGGCAACAATTTACAATGTGGATAAGGTGACTACTTATCCAAAGTGTGTGGGTGTGTGTGTGTGGGTGTGTGAACAGCTTGTCTGCCCAAGGTTAAAACATTTGGGACAGCAGTGAGAATGTTATGAGAAACAATTTGTTGCTTAGACTGAACTCGAAAGAAACTGAGATTAGAACATTTGAAATAAATCAAAACACTTGTACATTAATTTAATACATTTGACATTTAGCTTGAGCTGGGTTCAATACTTTCTTTATGGTATTTAAATTGGGCTCAAGTAGAACCTTTACATGGATTTGGCTTGCAACACAAAGTGATACCGATCTCTGTCTGTTATGATTTGAAAGTCTCATGATTTAAAGTGTAGGGCTGTGAAGGAGAGGCCCTTGGAAAACAACATCTATTTTTTTTTTAACTGTAATTACTTATTGTAAAGAGATTGCAACATTATACTTTTTAAAGAATTGCTCAATTCATTTAACACATTTATTATGCACACTGTAATGAAAACGTCAACAAATATATTGATCCTGGCTTAACCAGCGACCTTTACTCTTTTGTTCATAAGCTCGGTTTCAGAAAACTTGTCAGTAGTTTAACAACTATTAGAATTGTAGTAATGTCTATGGAGACCAATTGGTTGATACGAGAAATCATTTGAAGCAGTTTAATAAAGAATGTTAAACTATATTTAAAACTGTAATTAAACTTCAACTTATATTAATTATCTGATTCCAGTGGCCAGTTGGAACAGACAATCAACAAAGTTTCCATTTTGCAGCAACAGCGCAAAAGGTTTCAACAATAATTTGTATTATGTCTGAGTCAAGTTCTGTCTTATCAGCTTTGTTTCGGAATGTGTTCAATACATTAGGTTTTATTCTCATTATTACCATACAATACATAGATTTAAGAATAAATGAAACAAATAATACAACATTGACCTAAAACAGCAGACAGATTTTGCAACCCTGACCTCCTCAGGCAGGTTTTTTACGACCAGCAGTGATGCCTCTGAGGGTCTAAGGGTGCAGGACAGGGCATAGGGTTTATAAAAGGTCACAAACATATCTTAACATACCAGCAATACAATTTAAGAATGTATTCTTAAAGTAATATAATCTTCTCTTCTTCTTACACCTACAGCGCACACCCTGAACAGTGTGCTCCTTGTTTACATGTTCCTCTGCACACTCAGATGCAGGACATAAAAACACTCTTTTGCTATTTATTTTCATTTGCAGCACATCTATACTACCAGAATTTTGCAAAACACTATATATTATTTATTTTTCTCAAGTCATTTACTTTTGGTGAGTTAACTAAAGCTTAGTTTATTTTACCCTGGCTATGGACTGATTCATTATTAGTTGTTACAAAACATGCACAAGACGGCGGTTAGACAAACCAATATAGACCCCTGATACAAACAATCAGACAAACAAACATGATGAACTCGTAATAAACACCAGTGCGACAGCAAAGTTCATCCAGCTCAATTTAGTCCGGATTAAAGAGGTTTCAGAGGGGGTAGGGATATGATCAACCCAGTGGGGCACCTTGACTCACGCACCCACCCTTGTATACAAGTCCTAGATCGGTGCCTGAAGACCGTCCAAGAGCAATAACTAGCTTATCCTCTTTCGACCCCACTATCCCTGTTCTAGTGGTGCTATGCCCCCCGATCAGGAGCACATAGACTTTTTTCTCCTCTACCCTTTCTATCCGAAACTACACAGTTAACTGTAGTGCTACTCGACCAGCCTATACACACACCATCATGTTCATCACAACGATGAAACACAGTTTTGTTCTACACTTGCATGCCACTGCCCACCCATGATCAATTAGCCTATAATTTTATGTATGCACCCCGGACCGGCACCAGCTCCTCCAGCAATGTAGGGAGCCTGTCGCATCAGGTAATGCACGCACCTCGCACCTGCCAGCACGTCGTAAACGGCCACAAGCCACGAGAGTGCTTTTAAACTTTTAAACCGAGACGGCGGTGGTGTGAGTTAAAGCTATAGACAAAAGCTGTGATTTTCTCCCTCTGAGTTCACTTCACCAGCCCATGCAGATACGGGGAGGTATGTTACACACATTCCCCGGAGCCGCAGCTGGAGCCGTGTTTTTTTTAGAGGCGCTGGGGGTAATATCTCTGGCTGCTTGAGTTAACTGCTAGTGTTGGCCGCTGAAACCCCCGGAATCTCGGCGATTTGTTCATTACAAATCTCTATTTTGATTTCACACAGAAGTTCCACTTTACTGCTGCCCTCATTAAGGTCTTTTTAAACATCTCCGTGTATGCCTGCACGGCACATACGTCCCGAGCAGCACACACAGAGGGAACCAGCCAAGACAGAGTCCCTGGATGATCCCCTGGGGTTACTAGCCCCAAATGTTCATTAACCAAAACGAAACGCAGCCGCTTAGCTTCACAGATAATTTTAGGATACCGTCAATCACAGATTCTGGTAAGGCAATGTCCAAATGTAGATTTGAAATCACACTTACCAGTCTCTGAAGATCTGTTGGTATCCTGCCGACAACGCCAATTTGTGGAGGAAACTTCTGTGTAGTAATGCATGGAGTCACCGACTCAGGAAGGAGACACGGTGAGAGTTGGAGCTTTGATGTCAAACACTGATGGGTTTATTCAGAGTATTCGGCCGGAGGATTCACATCACAAATCAAAGAGTCAGAGGTTCTGACTACACGGTAGAGTTGCCACGTCAATTCTGAAGAACCTCTCTCTATGCTAGACCTTTTAACTGGTTCACAGAGAGAAATCAACATCTCTGAAGGAGTAGACTAAACACTGAATTTGTGTCCAACACTCATGGCCTCAAGGATTTCACATCCTAGAGCCCACAAACACCGATAAAGAAGTGCCTCAGTGTTCCCACAACAATTACCCTTCGTGCCAGTCAAGTTGACCGGTCACACACTGGTGACAACAACACATATGGCACCAAGGCCTTTCCTTAAAGGAGATAACACGTCACAGAGCAAAAGGTTAGATATCTAGAAGAATTATTCCTTAACAATAACCACAGACCCAAGTACAACAACTACCATCACCTCAACAGCACCTGCTACCAGAACCACAGACCCACGTAAAACAACATATACCACCACCAATAGAACCACAACACCTACTAATACCACCCCCACCACAGCACCCACTACCACAACCACAGACCCACCTCCTTCAACCACCCCCACCACAGCACCCACTACAACCACAGACCCACCTCCTTCAACCACCCCCACCACAGCACCCACTACCACAACCACAGACCCACCTCCTTCAACCACCCCCACAACAGCACCCACTACCATAACCACAGACCCACCTCCTTCAACCACCCCCACCACAGCACCCACTACCACAACCACAGACCCACCTCCTTCAACCACCCCCACAACAGCACCCACTACCACAACCACAGGCCCACCTCCTTCAACCACCCCCACCACAGCACCCACTACCACAACCACAGACCCACCTCCTTCAACCACCCCCACCACAGCACCCACTACCACAACCACAGACCCACCTCCTTCAACCACCCCCACAACAGCACCCACTACCATAACCACAGACCCACCTCCTTCAACCACCACCACAACAGCACCCACTACAACTACCACCGCAACAACACCTAATAAGACCAATACCACCACAACAATGACTATTACAAATATCACTGCACCAAAACCTAATACAACTACAACACTTTCAACGTCCAATGCATCCATGGCTTCATCAGTCAAATCTGCTACTACCACAATTGGAGATCCGACAAAAACATCTGGAAGCCAAACTGAAACCTCTCCTGCTGGAAAACACACAGAATCGCACAGTGTTTCAACTGGAAAGCCCACCCATCCCCTGCCATCAGGGGGGAACAGCAGTGACTTTGTACCTGGATGGGGTATTGCCCTTTTAGTATTGGCCTCTGTCATCCTGTTGCTTCTGTTAATCATCTTCATCATGTTGGTGAGTTATCAAGCAGTTTTAATACAATATGCTTTTTCATTTCAATATTTCTGTTTCTAAGCTCCATAACATTTCACTTACTTCTCATTTTGATAACTTTGATTTACCCATGCAAATGTAAATCTGGTTAGTCTGTATAGTGTTGTTTCACATCGCAGATAGTTGCTGTGCCCTCACCAAAAGTGACGATAGCGCTGTTAGCCGGCTACCTAGCTTACTAGCTGGCAATGTTTGTTTGTGGTTCTTAATTTACCCTAAACAGATAACTGTAGATTATTTTTGACACCTGTATAATGGTACATTATTTAAAGGGGACCTATCATGCAAAATGCACTTTTGTACGTCTTTTATACATGAATATGTGTCCCCGGTGTTCCAGGAAACTCACCAAGTGTCAGAAAACACAACCCTCTCTATTTTCCTCCATACCCAAATCTCTAATAAAGGGGCTGTAACGGATCAGATACAGACTGATCCAGATTTGAACACTTCTATGTCGTCACAGAAGTGGCGCTACGGCTATTGGGCCAACTCTCCACCTATCAGGGGAATGTGGGGTTGGGCCACGGCCGGCCATTGCCGCTCGAAAGCGCTGGAGACGCTGTAGTACATATGCCAGGCCTGTAAGTGGCGCTGTAGTCTGCCACAAAAGCAGCGAAGAAGACTTCCCGCCCATAGTTACCATGGTTACCCTTCTGTTTATTCTCCGCTGTGGCTTTTTTTCTCCCTCCCCGAGGCAAGCGTTTGCTCCCGCTGCTTTAATTCAATGCAATCCCTCCCCGTCGAGGCAAGCACTGTAATTCTCTCCGGTTAGTCCACCAGCAGATGACAAACACCCACCTCTCCGCCTCTTCCAAGGAACGAGGGGACCGTGCGGCAGAGTTTCAGTTTCAGTTTCTTTCGCCGGTCAAGATGTCCGTTAAAGTTGAAATCTTCCGGACAAAATTTGAAAAGTGCCGGTCAAAGGTCTTCTTTGTTATTTATTGAGCTTTAAAACAAATGAATAACGACTCTATATAATAAAACACGGAGGACGGAGATCTCTTTTTCTCCCCCTCTTCTGACAGCCCAGCAGCTGATCAGAGCACGGCTCACCTCTCCTGCAGGGGGGCGTGGTCAGCAGAATCAGATCCGTAGACAGCAAACAGCAAATGAGGCATGGCTAAAATGCATGATCTGTTTGGTATTTTGAAAACAGAAACGTATAAATATACCTTATATAGGTATGGCCCTACAATATATCATTTAAATATAGCATGATAGGTCCACTTTAAAAAGTGAAAAAACCAACCCATGTATTCATTTTATTTGTAAAGTGCAGTGTTTACTGGAGCAACCACAATCATGTCTGGTCACGTAACTTCCATTACGTAGCCAAGATGGCGATTGTTGTGTTGAGTTGAGAAATGTTCCACACTAAACTTTGACCTTTATGAGTGCACCATCTAGGTTATCTTAGTACACTGCATTTTGCCATACTTTGCATACATATAAGTACGCAATTTAAGACCGACCAAAGTTGATTTGAATGATAATTCCCTTGAGATAAACCAGATTAACAGAAAAATTGACAGAACTGCAGCCTTTCTTGCAGAAAATTGAAGGATTTATGGAGCCTCTGTGGCCTTCAGCATCCTTAAAAACACTGAATTCTGGTCAAATATTTGTCTGAGTGAGACCATTACAACATTTGGGATGGGGCACAGGATTCTCTTTGGACTCCTTTCAAGGCCGTGCCTTGTGAGGAAATGAATTGGGACATAGCTTTCTGATAAAGTTGTTTCCTCTACTAGCTATCATCTGAACTGTTTTGTTGCTCCGTTCTTTCAGTTGGTTCAAAGGTGTTGTATGCGAACAGAAAGTGGTCATAAGGACCCTGCTGAGGATCCATATTACAGTGAAAAGGAACAACCATCCCCGAACCCTCTGCCTGTATACTCACCTCAAACCCCAGTGACACAGAAACCGGTGCCAACCCCTGTCATTGTGGTAAGTACTACAAGTACTGCAGTGGTTTACCACTTGGAAGGTCAACGTGTTGAAGTGTCCTGAACCCCTAACTGCTCCCAAAGGCAATGCTCACTTCTACTGTAAAAGTGCTTTGAGTGTAAGTTATTGATATTGACTCTTTTTGGTCCTCTCTTGTCTTTGAACAGGGGGATCCACCCAAGAAGAACAAAACAGGCTTCTATAGTATAAATCCCTAAGATTCTCTCAGCCATCAAGCAGCAGGTAGACCACTTCATTTCTTATTTCTAAGTACAGTATATTGATGGCTGTCCAGGTACAGTATATGGCCATTACCTTCTGGATTTTAATGATCAGTGACTTTAGCCACTTCAATACAGACACAGTCTTCTGTCTTACTTGCGCATTGAGAAGGGTAGTGAGGGGCGAAAGCTCCAAGAGGGGTACACATTATGTCTGAAGAATTGTGTTTATAATGTGATTTTTGATGAACGTTACCATTTCAATGGTAATCTGATAGTGATAAACAGATGTCGCGAGTCACATCGTTTGCATCGTGAGGCTCCAAAGTTAGTTCTGCTGGGCGGCCAAGGCTGGGTTTCAATTACTGTTTGAACTAACCTACACGCTTTATCAAATTGTAATGTAGGGCTTAATAAATAGGGACATTCTTATATTGTACATGATCATGCAACGTGACAATATTTCATTTGACTATCATTTTACATTGTACGTTGCATGAATGGCTGTGTGCACATGTGTATGTTCCCTATAGTATATGAGATGTGTAATTGTTCATAATGTTCATAATTATGTTTGTCTTCATGAGTATGTAACTATGTTTGTCTATCTTTATAGTCCTTTGATGTTTTGACACAAAGTGTTTTTATCAGTGGTAGAAGAAAAAAAACTGGATCGGACAACATGTCTACTCTTCAGGAACTGGCCTTGACAATTCGTATAATGCCGATAATGCCTTGGCATTTCTGATATCTATCAGTTACAAATAGCAGTCAAAATTTAACTGTGTTTTTTTTATCTTAAAACAATTGCATCTACCAACATGTCGACATGTGACATGTTGCATAATGCCGTAATGCCTTGGTTTGGAGGAACCGCCTCGACCCACCTTACAGGCTTCAACTTCACTGAAAGAGTAAACACAGTAAACATGGAGATTCAGGGCAATTCTTTAACTCAAATGTAAAGCACACCGATTTCAAACCATATGTTTTTTACAGGCATGTATTATAAAAAAAGAAAAGACAACACAAAGTCAATCTATTTTCAAATGTTGACACCTAAAGTATCAAATTGGAGTGACGAAACCGGTTTGTTTTATATTGCAAGACTAGAGCTAAAGAAATACCCTCAATCTGTGTTTACTGTTCTATACACTTTGAAGCCGAACACTCTGTTATATGGTTCGAGGAAATGTTCCTCAGAAAAGCCAAGGCATTATCGACATTATACGAAATGTCAAGGCAAGTTCCTGAAGAGTTGACATGTTGGTCGATGCAAGCATTTTTATCTATAGCTGAATTATGTATTATTATGTAAATAATATCGCTGAAGTTTGACTGCTGTTTGTAACTGATAGATATCTAATGCCGTGTTGTAAAACTGCCTCTGACCTCGCCCACTCTCTCAACAGAAGATCTTAATCAGGGCTTACTCATTACAACATTTGTTTGACGCACACTCCAAAGATCTGATGAACTATACAAGGAGGCTGGGCTTTATGTGTATTTTAAACAAAGGCATGCTTTTCTATAAATCCTACTGTACTAACAGAGGATATAAAGCGTAAAGTCAACAAACAACAGGACACAATGTCACCAAGACTCACCTGGCTTAGGAAACACAGGGAGCAGTTATGTCTCATTGAGAGGAGAAAGTTCTTTGTGATATACTTTTGTTCAAGTCATGGTGTGGCTGCTTGAATCATGGTTTAGTTCAGGTATATACAATATGTATTTAATAAAGCTATTTAGTACTGTAATATGTATGAATACTCTCTGTCCACTTTGTGTGTACCGGTGACTTTAATGTAACCAAATGTCCTTCTAAATGATAAATGAAACGGCGCCCTTTTCCTTTGGTATGACCATAGTTCTACTCCAAGAGGTCATTTGAAAGCCTCAACACTTACGCAGTGTCCATCGCTCAAATTATTGCATTTTTATTAACCGGTAATAGTTATGGCAAAACTGGTAAAAAATGTAGTCAAGTGACATTGTAGTGACAAACACATTTCGATGTTGCTGTACAGAGCTTTTTAAATCATTAGAAGGATTGCATTGAAAAGGCAGATTCATATTTTGGATTTATGTTTCATTTTGATTGGATGGTTACAGAGGAGGATTAAGGCCAAATGTGATCATATTTTTGAGATCTGACCCAAAGACATTTTTTTATTTCTGAGATAAAAGTCAGAATTCTGAGATTATAGTCAGTATTTCCTAAGAAGTCTGACTTTTATCTCTAAATTAAAAAAATTCCCTTTGTGTCAGGTCTCAATAAATGTTCACATTTGGCCCTAATTCTCTTCCATAAAAGGGGGCTGAGTTTACCAGCTTCACACATTTTTCTTTTTCAGGTGACTTTAAAATGAATGTCAAGTTGTTTAGCAGCTTTAAACACACAAAGTTCATTTTAAAACAGCTTAGTTTTTTTTTGTGCTATTCATGTGCTATTT